AAACGTGGAAAATGAACACGCCGGAAACACCGACGGCAGTGGTGTTTTCGGCATGTGACCCACGCCAAACACTGTAAATACCGGTGGATTTGGCACATGCAAAACGCGCGCTTACAGGTGGTCCGAGCCAACAACAACAACAACAACAACAACAACGACGCCGAAGATGCTGTTGACAACAACCAAGTCACCAACGGTAACATGTACAGAGGATGATGACTAAGAAGATGATGTTGAGGGTGAAGTTGTTTTTGATGATGATGGTGGTGATGACGATTTTGAGAGGTTTTGAGAGGGAGGACGGCGATTAGGATGACGATCTGGATGGCGATGACGGTGATGGTGGTGATGAAGACGATGATAATTATGTTGAAGAGAAGCACGGCGACGAGGATGACAACGACGATGACAGTGACGATGATCGTCACAGCTGCTGCAGCTACTGTTACTACTGCTGCTGCCACTACGACGACGAGGACGACTACTAGTAGCACTGCTGCTACTGCTACACCTGCTATTACTACGACGACGACCTCTAGGACTGCTACTGCTACCTGCGACTACAACCACTAGTCAGCCACATGGCTGCGACGAGGATGCGGAGCAGCACTGGAAATTAAAGGTTAACGTTTCGGGTTACTATTAAATTATAAGAACCCAAAAAAGTTTAAAGGTTGGCTATTGGCGAACTAACCCTAAACCCTAAACCCTAAACCCTAAACCCCAAGGAAGTCGAGTGTCTGGGCCCCAGTCGCAGACAAACCTGACACCAGACAGGGGAGATCCACGAGCCCGCCATGGTCGCCAGGTTTATAAGGCTTAGGGTTTAGGGTTTAGGGTTTAGGGCCTAGGGCTTAGGGTTTAGGGTTTAGGGCTTAGGGTTTAGGGTTTAGGGCTTAGGGTTTAGGGCTTATATAGGGTTTAGGGCTTATATAGGGTTTAGGGCTTAGGGTTTAAGGCTTAGGGCTTTGGGTTTAAGGCTTAGGGTTNNGTTTGGGGTTTAGGGTTTGGTGCTTAGGGTTTAGGGTTTGGGGTTTACGGTTTGCGGCTTAGGGTTTAGGGTTCAGGGTTTAGGGTTTAAGGTTGTTCTCTAAACTAAGGTCCCTTGCAGGGTCCTTGTTATAAGGGTGCCGTACTATATAGGGGACCTAAAAAGGGACCCTATTGTAGAGAACTCCCCAAGCTGTAAAACTTTCACACCGTTAATCCCAAACTACGTTAAGCCGCCTTGTCAAGCTTCTCAACTGCAGCGGCATCCCCTGAGTAAGGGCTTTGGGGCTTCCTGTCGCTCTTTATAGCACGAAAGACCCTAAACCCTAAACCCTAAACCCTAGACCCTAAACCCTCAAGGCTCTGCGCCTCGAAGTCCTCAAGTAGGTGCGCGTCAGCGTTGCGAGAAGGATTGCCTCCCACCGTTGATGTTGGATTTAGATTTTTTGGGAGGGTTCAAAGCTTAGAGATTTGGGCTCATAAACACATAGGTGTCAGGTTCAGGGCTTGATTTTAGGGAATATCCCTGCTGCCTTTCAGTAGAGTGAAGACCTGCAGGACTAAACCCTAGATGCTAAATGCGGCACCCTCAACTCCGAACTTTACTTCCCCAAGAAGCCAGGGAAATTAAAGGTCGACCTTCAGACTACTACTAAACTATAAGTGCGGTTAAGGTTTAGCGTTTAGGGTTTAGGGTTTAGGGCTCAGGGGGACTATAAGAACCCAAAAGTTTAAAGGTTGGCTGTTTTAGAACTAAGGAACCCTAAAGGGTGCAACTTGGACCCTGAACCCGGGCCCTAAACCCTAAACTCGAGCCCCAAATCTCCGCCCAAACTCAAAAACGGTTTAGTAATTGGTCTTAAGGACTAAACCCTAAACCCTAAAGGGGTTTAGGGTTCCTCGGCCCTTGAAGGCAGAGCCCTTATGTTTGTTGAGAATGGGCAATGTGGCGAAAATCAAAGACTTACCTCCCCAAGAAGCCAGGGAAATTAAAGGCTGAACGTTCAGATTAAACCTAAACTATAAGAGCCCCAAAAAGGTTAAAGGTTGGCTATTGGAGAACTAAGAAGATAGTTGCAGGCTAGAAGAGTGGGTGTTCAAGAGCTTAGACTTACGCGTTGGAATTCACAGGGAGCGGCTTTGCGGTTAACGGTCCGACGGTCCTACATACCTCTGCACCGGAATTTAGCGTGAGAGAACAAACTTCTGCAAATCTGTCCCGACTGTGAAGAGTCGCCAGAATTTACTATCCTTCAAACCCTAAACCCGGCGCTACACCCTACCTAGGCCCTCAGCCCTAAACCCTACCTCGGCCCTACACCCTACACCCTAAGCCCGAAACCCCTAAACCCCTAAAACCCTAAAACCCTAAAACCCTAAACCCTAAACCCTAAACCCCAAAACGAAAGACGTGGGACTCGCCTGGCCGCTGATGGCGGCCCATCGTGCAGTAGGCAGACCAGGCTTCCAGCAAAGATCCTTGGGCTCTGACTATGAAGTCCTTAACCTTAAAAGCAACATGATCCCCAAAAGCTTTTCAGGTTCATATACTAACTTGGGATTTAAAGTATAAGGGTATAGGGCCCCTACTTATAAGGGTCATTTGGTCCCCAAGGAAGGGGACGGTTTAGGGTTCAGGGTTTTGGGTTTCGGGTTTAGGCGTTCGGGATTGGGGCCGAAGTTTAGGGTTTAGGTTTCGAGTTTAGGGTTTAGCTGCTTCAACCTGCATTTCGAACCCAAGCGGCTCCAGCTAGCTAAGCTCGCATGACTAAGCCTTGAACACAATTCTCAACAAGCCGTAAGCCATGATAGCAATCATCCTGAATGTAGACAACAATCCTACTGTTAATGGCCACTTCTATTCGTTTCGAAGTTCTGAATCGTAGCACAACGCTGACTGACTGTAAGGAAGCTTCAGTAAACCCTAAACCCTAACGCCTTCCTGCGCGAAGATATGGTAAACAACGCTTCAGAAACTCACCGGGCCAAGCCTCCTAAATAACGGCACCCGTTGATTCAGTACCCAAGAAGTGGACCCTGTTTTAGAGAACTACCGTAGGTTTAGGGTTTAGGGTTTATGAGTGTAAGAACCTCCACTGCCCAAGATGGAGCTTCATAACACAAAGTGAGGCACACAGGCCAAGTAGACGGTGGGTACCGCGCCCAGCAGAGACAGAAGCCAGGCAGTGACCTGAGCACAAGCCCGGAAGCCTAAAACCCTAAACCCTTGAAACCCAAAACCCTAAACCCTGAAACCCTAAACCCTGAAACCCAAAACCCTAAACCCCCTGAAACCCCAAACCCTACACCCTGAAACCCTAAACCCTAAACCCCCTGAAACCCAAAACCCTACACCCTGAAACCCTAAACCCTGAAACCCAACACCCTAACCCCCCTGAAACCCAAAACCCTACACCCTGAAACCCTAAACCCTAAACCCTGAAACCCAAAACCCTAAACCCCCTCAAACCCTACACCGCGAAACCCTAAACCCTAAACCGTCTGAAACCCGAAACCCGAAACCCTGAAACCCGAAACCCGAAACCCTGAAACCCTAAACCCTAAACCCTGAAACCCTAAACCCTGAAACCGTAAACCCTACACCCTGGAATCCTAAACCCCACACCCTGGAATCCTAAACCCCAATTCAACAAATCCCGAAACCCTTAGTCAGTGATTGATCGGGGTAATGTGGGCATTAATAATTAGAATAGGGTTTTGGTGTATACTACAAAGTGGCGGCCCTTTTAATAAGGTGGGCCTCTATAAGGCGTTTTGCTTTTCAAGCCGGGCCCCAAAAAAGCTGCGGCCGAATTAATGCTTTTTTTGGGGGGCCTGGCATTTTTTTGGTTGTGTTGCTTCCCTTCTAGCAATGGTCAATCTTAAAGAAGCCACGACCTAAACGCCCCTCCAAACCCTAAAACCCTGGCCCTGAAGCCGAAACTCTCCCTAAACCCGAAACCGCCCTTAAGCCTAAAACCTAAATCCCCCTTGAGCCTCAACTCAACCTCCTTTTATTAAGCCTGAAAATTAGACACCGCGAACCCTAAAGCCCTGGACCCTAAAGCCTAAAACGCCCCTCCAAACCTTATACCTCCAAAACCAGACAGTTAAACTCCTACGCCCTCATCCCACAAAAACACTCTCTAAAAGAACCGAAACCATCCAAAACCGAAACACACAAACCTTAAAACTCAAAGCTTCGAGCCAGACACCCTGACAACGAAACTCAACGTAAGTGGCTTCAATGTCAGTAAGGAGTAAGGTACAGAACTAATTAATGGCACCCTTACCTTAGCAGAACTATGATAGCGATCCGAATATTCGGGCCTTTAAAAGAAGGCGATTTTTTCTTCGGGGGCCTATGAGGACTGGGTTCCTTGCGGCTCAGTATGTTGCTGTTTGGTAGAGCCTCGTCACGTTTATGCCAAGTACCCGTTACTTGCAACTCCTCAACACTTAGGATATCTTTGTTCGGGTCTTCAGGCTTCATTCAAACAGTTTATGACACCTGACATCAAAAACACGAAAACGTAGGTGCAAGGGCAGTGGTGGGGACCTTATTACAAAACAGGTGCTTAGAGTATGAAAAATGCCTACAGAACAAGCGCAAATAGTCAAAGAGGCAGATGTTAACAGGTTGCTGGCCTGAAGCCCTGAAGGAAGAAGCCTATGCCAACCTACAATGTATGCTCAAAACCTTGCAGACCCGGTTGAATAACTTTGCAAAACATGTCTCAACCAAACAACAGAAAGCACCACATTTAAACCGCTGAAACCCTAAGGGTCCATGTACCCAAATAGTGTATACATTGGCCCTAAAGTACCTATATAGGGACTACTTTCAGGCCAAAGTATATACTATTTGGGTACATGGACCCTTAGGGAAACATCGTCGTCCGAGTGGCTAAACCCCGCTGCTGGCCAGTCAGGAGGGTCAGCATGATGGTCATCTGCAAGAGCCTCAAGGCAATGGTGTTTTTAGGGTTTAGGGTTTAGGGTTTGGGGTTTAGGGTTTAGGGTTTAGGGTTTAGGGTTTGGGGTTTAGGGTTTGGGGCTTTACTTGGAGGGTCGGGGGACTTAGTAAATGGCTATGTTATAGACTTATAAGTACTATAACCCCAGTTAGCGTCCCTCTTAGTCTTAGGGATACTTATAAGTCTACTTATTACCTACTTACTAAGTCTCCCGACCCTCCAAGTAGGCTTTCGGGTTTGAGATGATTTGGGAATTCGGGCTGTTGGAATCCGGGATTCTAGGGTACACTTGGAAGATCATGGGACTTAGTAAGTCAGGATACAAGTACCTTAAACTAGGGATCCAGGTAATCATAGGTATAGTTACCTTAATCACCCTGCTAAAGTCTAAACCTTAGTATAGTTACCTTCGTTACCCTAAAACCTAAACCCGAAACCGAAAACCACAGGCCTAGTTACTAAGTCCCATGATCCTTAAAGTACCCTGCAGGTCGAGGCTCCTGCTTAGGAGGAGCTCTTGCATCTCTTTGGCTTTTCAGAAATTCTACAGTTTACGGCTCCCAGATGTGTATGTATGCGTTTTGGGTTTAGGCTTTATGGTTTAGGTATTTATATATATATATATACACACACATCATACATACCATGAACCCCGGTATAGTGATTAAACCTCCAGCCCATGTAGGGAGCATGTCGTCCTTACGCTTGGAGGAACCCGTGACGACTGCCAAGAAGAAGCCCTTCAAGGAATCCGTTCAAGGCAGTTCCGTCCTCAAGGCAGCATGACGACCCTCATGGCGAAGCATGTCAAAGCCGACCCTAAACCCTACGAGTCTAGGGCCTATAGGGCTTATAGGGCTTAGTTGAAGGTTCAGGGCGTAGGGTTCAGACTTCGAGGACTCCCTATAGGCTAAGCCCTGAACCTGTATCAACCTTACGCCCTAAACCCCCGAACCCTTCAACCCTAAACCCTAAACCCTAAACCCTAACCACCGAACCCTCCACCCTGAAGCCCTGAGGAAGAGGCAAGGCTCGAGTGCTTCGTACTCTTGTTCGGGGATTAACTCCGAAAGTGCTGTGCAAACACAAAACTGTCTACTGCGTTTCGGGAGCACACTTCTAAAGACGCCATGCCCTAAACACTAAACCCTAAACCCTTAGCCCTCAGCCCTAAACCCTAAA